GGGGACACCGCGGGGACAGGGCCAGCGCGACGCGTTCCCGGCCACGCCGCGGTGCCAGCGCGAGCGCCACGCGTGGGACCTGTGCCAGCACCACGAGTAGGGACACGGGGACACCGCGGGGACATGGGGACACTGCGGGGACACTGCGGGGACACGGGGACACCGCAGGGACACTGCGGTGACATGGGGACACCGCGGGGACAGGGCCAGCGCGACGCGTTCCCGGCCACGCCGCGGTGCCAGCGCGAGCGCCACGCGTGGGACCTGTGCCAGCACCACGAGTAGGGACACGGGGACACCGTGGGGACATGGGGACACCGCGGGGACACTGCGGGGACATGGGGACACTGCGGGGACATGGGGACACTGCAGGGACACGGGGACATTGCAGGGACACTGTGGGGACACTGGGACACTGCAGGAACATGGGGACAAGGGGACACTGCGGGGACACAGGGACAGGGACACGGGCACAAGGACATGGGCACAGTGACCTGGGCGCTGGCTTGGGGACAGGGACACGGGCACTGGGATGGGGACATGGGGACGCTGCCATGCGGACGTAGGCACTGGGATGGGGCAGTGGCACTAGGACGGGGACAAGGACACAGTCATGGCCGTGAGCACAAGTGGGGGGACATGGAGGGACCAGGGGATGTGGGGACAGGGACACGCTGGGGACAGGGGTGGGGACGCTGGGTTTGGGGACAGGGATGTCACATTGACCCTGGGTGGCCCTGTCCCCGTGGTGGCCCTGAAGGGGGGGAGGAGGGCGGGCCCTGTAGTGTCCCCAGCCCCCCAGTGACCCCGTCCCCATGGTGTCCTTGGGTGTCCCCATCCCCATGGTGTCCCATGGTGTCCTTGTCCCCATGATGTCCCTGTCCCTATGATGTCCCTGTCCCAGTGTGTCCCTGGGTGTCCCCATCCCTGTGGTGGCCCCGTCCCCACGGTGTCCCCCCAACCCCAACCTGGGGACTCTGGGGACGTCACTGCGCGGTGTCTGGGGGCTGGGTGGGCCACGGTGACAGGAGGTGACACAGGGGTCATGGAGGGTGACAGAGAGGTGACAGGTGACAGGAGGGTGATGCGGAGGTGACATAGGATGACACAGGTGACATGGGGTGACATGGAGGTGACACAGTGATGACGCAGGGGTGACGCGGCAGTGATGGGGAGCCAACATGGTGACACACGTAACGGGGGTGACACGGAGGTGACACAGAGGTGACATGGAGGTGACAGGGTGATAGGTGACACAGGGTGACACAGAGCTAACATGGAGGTGACAAGGTGACACAGGATGACATGGGTGACATGGAGGTGACATAGGGGTGACAGGTGACATGGGGTGACAGGTGACATGGAGCAGGGTGATGGGTGACACGGGCATGACACGGAGGTGACACAGGGTGACACAGAGCTAACATGGGGGTGACGAGGTGACACAAGATGACATGGGTGATGCAGAGGTGACACAGGCTGACATGGGGTGACACGGAGATGACACTGCGGTGACACAGGGTGACATGGTGGTGACACAAGGTGACACGGGAGTGACGCAGAGGTGACATCACGATGACACAGGGTGACACGGGGTGACATGGAGTGACATGGAGGTGACACAGAGGTGACATGGGGGTGATGTGGAGGTGACACCGTGGTGACACAGGGTGACGTGGAGTGACCTGGAGGTGACATGAGTGATACAGAGGTGACGTAGAGGTGACACTGCAGTGACACAAGGTGACAACGGGGCCGTGTGTCCCCAGCTACGTGATGCGCATGAAG